TTTAAATGTAGGCCTATTACTTGCTGTAGCGGTTCTTGTGCAAGATTCATCTTAAGGTTGATGCTGGTGTTTTTAAACTTGCCTAGATGGAGGATTGTTTAACAAGCTTGTCGCTAGGTACTGGATCATAATGAGAAATAGAAGGGAAAGATTTAATTTAGCGAAGTTACTTTTTGCTGAACTGATTAGTAAATCCATAGACCGAAACGTCAATTTTGTGTCAATTCATTATATGACACCTCTCTCTCTCTCTCTCTCTCTCTCTCTCTCTCTCTCTTAAACACAAACACACACGCACACGCGTGCGGAAAGACATATACACACACACACACATATATATATATATATATATATATATATATATATATATATATATATATATATATCTCCATTTTTAAATATTACTTTGTTTTTAACTACGTTATCACTAAAGTTTCCCTCAGCCATCTATTCAGAACAAAAATAGAACAAAATATAACAAAATTCTGAACAAAATATAATTTATATGGAAAATATATGCTTTTACCAGTGTCCACCCCCCCTCCCCACCTCCCGTGAGAAAGCACTGGCTATCGTGTGTCCTGTTTCCCTTGATTTACGATTTCATCCCATGCACCGTGATTAGAATTTAAGCCGGCGGAGAATGCCTCAGGCAAAATAAATTAGTCATTGACAAATCGATTTCTAATTGACATGTCTACTTCATCTTTAAGCTCTGGTCTACACCGGCCATACTTGACCAACTAAACGATAAACGAAATGTCAACAACGCAACTTATTAGCCTGATCCATTTTAATTAAAGCGTATTCATTTACGTAGGGATCTAATTTTCTAACAAACAGTATTTTATCTTCGTTTAAATTTTTCATCCATATATTTTACTTACCCAAAGTCCTAACCCAGTGATTCTTAACCCTGGTTATATCGAACCCCAGGGATTCGACGAGGGTCAGTCTCAGGGGTTCGGCGGAGGTCAAGGCTGGGATGAATGGGGGCAGTTTTTTTTCCAGACTTTTTTCTCCGGGGGGGGGGGGGGCACTTGATATTTTCGAGGGGAGGAGGGGGGGCGGACAACATTTTTCGGGGGGGGGGGACACTAATAAAAGTGTATGTTTACTATATAAATTCCATCTCGTTCCGGGAGGGGGGGGGGGGCTGGAAGAAACTCTGAATGGGGGTGATTGTTGTTTTGTACTTGGTACCTGTTCCGTTCGTCCATGTTCAGTTTTTGAGCTTTGAGTTGTAACAATCCGGTTTGTACAAGTTGATGTAAGGTATATAAGGTATGTGGGGACGATAGAGCTTTTAAAAAGGGTTCTGTGAATGCTCAAATGAAACTTGTGGGGGTCGGTACATCCAAAAAGGTTAATAACCACTGCTCTAACCATTACATGTCACTGATTGCTGAACTATTCAATTAGTCAGAAGCTTTATTGATTATTTTCTCAGTATGCAATTCTCAAATTCTATATGATATTGAAAGGAATATATTGACCGAAATAAAGGCATACTTCTGTGGAGGGTAGGGATAGATCGGCTTTTGATATCGCTTTTCTTATATTGTAGTCACAGTTAAAGATATCATTTTTCTTTAATGGTTGTCATTTTAACGAATTGATTCTGTTAAATGGTTGCCATTTTAACGATATGATTCTGTTTAATAGTTGTCACAATTGTGGGTATGATTTTCTTAAATGGTTGTCAGAATTAACAATATGACTTTCTTAATTGGTTGTTCAATTAAAGGCACGATTTTCTAAAATAGTTGACATAATTAACAATATGATTTTCTTGAGTAGTTGTCACAAATAACGAAATGATCTTGTTAAATGGTAGTCATTCACTTGTAACGATATATACACAAATCATACACATATGTAACTCCACCTATTCTAAAGCCTAACACTTAACCTTACAGTAAAGACGTCGAGTTCTCTTATGTTGCTACTTAAGATACACTTATTTTAAAACCATAAACTGCATTTTATTCAATCAATTAATTAATGAATTTTAATTAACTCATAGACATTTTTAAGAAAATGACGTTGAATATCAGGAATATTGCACGCTTGTCCACTCCTTTCAGACAAACCTACCAACCTGGACTTAATCGATACAATGTGGCGTCGCTAGGTCGGGTGTCACCTGATACGGCACTTCGTGGTGTCACCCCCAAGAAACAAAGGAACTGGCAAAAAGCATTTTTGCAATTTTTTTGCTTTAGGTGTCACCCCGCAAACGGTGTCACCCGGTGCGGTCCGCACCCCCCGCCCCGCTCTCGCTACGCCTTTGATCTATACAACAGCTCCTACCGATAGATCCGTCATATTGTTTCGAAAAGCAAACGAGCCGCAACACATATTGAATGTAACAAAAATAATCTATAACCCAGTAGATCATATGAGAATGTGACTCGTCTCAGGCATGTTGGTTCTAGTATGAAACTGTTTCGATATTGTAATAAGATATCTTTTATGACGGTGGCACCGCGTTCTGTGGGGTTCTGTGGGGTCGTTACATTAAGCCTTGTTAAGCAGAGTTGTAAGGAGTGTTTTTGTGATTACATGTAGGCATTGGGACGTTGAGCTACGGTGATGATTTACGCTAACAATAGGATTTAATACAGGAGTGTCATTGCTATACATATATACAGTAGCACTATGGGAATATAAATGTAAGTAGCACTATGGAGTATAAATGTAAGTAGCACAATAAAACTGTAGAGAAGCACTTTGTGAATATAGTACAAAGAAAAGAAAAAACAATACAGAAACAGATATGGAAATAGGCCCAGTTACAGCATAGGATTATAAACACAAAGCCACTATTGAAACCTACATAGAGTAGCACAACTACAACATAAACATTGTAGAACAACTACAATATAAACTCTAGCTTTATGTGAATATAAACGTGGTAGTATAACATGGATACATTAACACAGTAGCATAATGGGATTATAAAAACAGTAGCACACTGGAATATAAACCCAGTAGCACAATGAGAATAAACACATGCAACAGAACAATAACTACACACGTAATAGATAATATTTATAACAGACATACACAACCAACAGAATTTAGAACAGAACTGCATAATACAAGGGATGCTAATGAAAGCACACACAAAATCAATACAAGAGGTTTAACACAATAAAATTTGACCTGGGATATGAAAATACAATTGATGCAGTTGGAAAGTAAAGATCAATACACATTTTACACAATGAAATGTAACATTGAATAAATATACCGAATCATCGCGGACTCGTTCGTTAGCTGAAGCTCATATATTCATAGGTTTAGACTCGTTCGTTAGCTGTAGCTCATATTTTCATAGGTTTAGACTCGTTCGTTATCTGATGTAAACCATTTACATAGGTTTACATGGTACGTTAGCTGAAGCACACATTTGCATTGGTATACATGGTTCTTTAGCTGAGGCGCATATTTTCATATGTTTTGATGGTTGATTATCCAAAAAACACCTTTAATATGTCTCTTAAATTAAGATTTTAATTACCCCCCCCCCCCTCTAAAAAACTATTCCTCAAAGTGCTAAAAACGCCGGGAAAAAAACGAGTAAGTAAAGTGTGGAGAAGAACTATTACTGTTAATTGTGTAGCTCAGTGTGTTTTACTGTTGGTCTTTTAGTGGCTAGTTTTGTCCAGGAACCAGACCCAGCAGAAACTCATAAGGATAAAATGCCCCCCTTCCCTTGCTCTATCGTTTGTTACTTGGCAACAGGCCGCTTGAAATGTTGCCCAGTGTGCTGTTTCTTGTTCGTCTTTATCGTCTGAACTGGAGGGTAGGTCTGTCATTAAACGTATTGTTAATCGTGTAGGAATCTTCTAAAAATGTGCTGTTGGTGTGTATAGACTCATGTCATTGAAGGTTTGTGAATCGTGTAGAAATCTTCTGAAATCGTCTAGTTAGTGTGTATAGACTCTTGCTACTAAATCTATTGTTCATTGTGTTGGAATCTTCTGAAATTGTCTAGTTAGTGTGCATAGACTCTTGCTACAAAAGGTACTGTTAGGCATGTTGGGCTTGATAAAAATATTATGTAGTTAGCGGTCATTGACTACTGTCATTTAAGGTATCGTAAACCGTTGTTTTCAGTGTCGAAAAGTATGTGGTTAAATTGCATAGACCCCTAGAGTAACAGTGAGGATGTTTGTTCGGTAAAGTTAAATTCATTCATCAAACCAATCAACTAACCACCTAGGCTTCGTTCACTGTATGGTTCGCTTAACGAGGCGTTCGTTAACCGGGGCAACCCTGATTTCATAGAAATACATCCAGTAACAAAACATACATTCAAACTCAATCTGGCACCACCAATATAAACAATTCCACACAAGAAAAATGTAATTTAAATACAATCATAAAATACAATGCCTATATTATTGACAACAACAAACACAATCATACATCTGCTTTCAAAACGAGAGAATCGCGTAAACTTGTAGTCAAACGCAAGGCCTTAATTAAGTCGTCACGATGTCTATATTTATCCCAAAATGTCACGAATAGAACGCAACCGGGGACTTGGAAATTTTGGTTTTTATTTTTAAGTCAAACAGAAAGCAGCTGTCGTCTCGTTTTCGGCAGACGATTGGCTGCGATCTAACAGGAAGCACCAGGTAGCATCCGGTTTGCATGAGCTAATTAATTAGCCGGTCGACGCGAATCATTCAGTATCGAGCAGTTTTTGTTTTTAAAAATGTTTGATTTCCGCAGTTAATTTTACTGACTTTTACAAATTTATTGTGGCGTGTACGCGTACTTTAAGGAAGTATAAAATATAATCAATCGACCAAGGAATCTAGATCAAAGGGAACAGGGATGGACTGGTGTGTACATGAGAGAGACAGAGTATGAGAGAGAGAGATAGAGAGAGAGAGAGTGAGGGTGGGGAGGATATTTTTATAAACTTATTACTGTGTGTAAAAAGTGTGCCTTTTGGTGACAATTTTTTTTTGTTCATTTTTCAGGAGGCCATTTCTCAGGTGAGAAAAATGTAATGCACACTTTGGTGAACAACTAGACCATGCTTTGCGAAGTGACGCCTGCATGCTTTGTGAAGTGACTCATTCCTGCTTTGTAAAGTGCTTCCTCTATGCTTTGTGAAATGCCTACTACATGCTTTGTGAAGTGACGCCTGCATGCTTTGTGAAGTGCTTCCTGTGAAGTGACGCCTACATGCTTTGCGAAGTGACGCCTGCATGCTTTGTGAAGTGACTCATTCCTGCTTTGTGAAGTGACGCCTGCATGCTTTGTGACGTGACGCCTACATGCTTTGCGAAGTGGCGCCTACATGCTTGATAAAGTGACTCCTACATGCTTTGTGAAGTGACTCCTGCATGCTTTGTGAAGTGACTCCTGCATGCTATGTCGTTCCCCAGCTTGCATGTTTTGTGATCACCTAGACTACATGTTTCCTGGGCCACGCCGCATGCTTTGCGAACGGCTAAGCCGAATGCATTATAGTTTTAGCAGGAAGAGAAAATGCTTGTTTTTATAAAGCGCTTCTGGTTGCAACGCACTAAAATGTAAACCCTTTTTCTTTCATGTTAAAAGTATAATAACTGATAAATATGCCATACATGTGTATAAACTACACATTATATTTCACATATGTGTTCTTACATAGGTGTAGAATTCTTCACTAAATATTCTGTACCCATTTCCACAGGTATACAAACTTAGATTTCACACATCTGTAAATAGTATTGGATTTCAATCATTTGTAAAAATTACACATTAGATTTGACCCACGTGTTAAAAATACACATTACATTTCCATTATGTGTAAAAATGTTACAATAGATTTCACGCATGAGTTCAAACGAAGGTGTACAGTTCTTTATTAATTATTCAGGGCTCATATTGACCTACTGCTTCACTAAACATACACCAGTACTGCTTCACTAAACATACACCAGTACTGCTCCACTAAACATACACTAGTACTGCTTCACTAAACATACACCAGTACTGCTCCACTAAACATACACTAGTACTGCTTCACTAAACATACACCAGTACTGCTCCACTAAACATACACTAGTACTGCTTCACTAAACATTTCACACCACAGCCCCTCTAAACATTACCCCACCCCCCCCCCCCCCACCCTTAAAATTACCACACTAGTATCCATTAATCACATATCAACCCCCCCCCCCCTCCTTTCTTAATGAAACACGAGCCACGTAATTAAATCAACAAGACAATAGCTTCTCGCGTTTAGTTTCTTTACAACCCCCACCCCTCCCCTCCCCCACACCCACCGCCCAATCAATACACCGTGTGTTGCGTTCTGTTTATTCCAACACTTCGTGTAAGTTGACTAGCTGGTGTTTAGTAAAACGTATCCACGCATGATTACACACACTATTTACAACACGAATACACAGCCAAGCGCGATTGCGTGATTAGACAATTCAATAAAAGTCCTATTGTGTTTTGTGCTGGGTAAATGTTTCAACGTATTTTAGCGTACCCGTCACGCGTTGCTGCGTTATCGGAATTCAAGGAGGCCCGTTATGATGTCTAATTTACATAGTGTCCGTTTTATTGAAAAGTATTGTTTTCTTAAAATATGGAAAACATTTCAACGTTTCATGTTAATTTTATTTCTTTCTTAGAGTGCTTGTGAATATACCGACCTTATGGTTTCCAATTTGAGATTAATGGACTCTACAAATCTAGTTTTACACACCACACTGACTCAACTTTAAGAGGATACCCTCTGTGTTACCAAACGTGTGAATCTATTTGCTAGAACTCGAGCTTTATGTGTAAAACAATAACGGCTCTACGTTTTCTTTTATCTTATGGCGCGGATGTGTCCTGTACAGCCTAGTCGCCCCAGGCGTATGAAAATATTCAATGTTGATATCCTTCCGCAATGGTGATGTATAACACCCCTCAGCACATTCATGAGTGTCAGGGGCATCGCATGGTGATCTTGATAACATCTGTTGCAGTCATCTATTAAAGTAGCCCATCGTATCCCTAATGTAGAGCACTCTTTAAAACTAAAGTACGCGTCAAGGTGCTCGTGTGGGAGACCGGGGTACTCCGGGTCAGATGACTGCCGGGGCGCCTGGAGCAGTTTGACCGTTATTTCAAGTAGTACCCCTGACATGCTGTGCACAACGCCTAATCAGCAAAACCCACGTGATAAGGGTATCCGCTAGAAAACACCGGTGCACCGTTCCTTTGCGATATGTAGAAAATATGTATGACAGAAACATTGTCTGGGTCGTACTCAGCAACTTCCCAAAGTTTAATGGCAATCGGATGAATGGTGTTGTATTGCATAAAAGGCTGAAGTTTCATGTCAATCGGATGAATGGTGTAGTATTGCATAAAATACTAAAGTTTCATCGCGATCGGATGAATGGTGTAGTATTGCATAAAAGACTGAAGTTTCATGGCGATCGGATGAATGGTGTAGTATTGCATAAAATACTGTACTACAAACAAACAAGAGCGTATATACAGAGAGATGTGTTTTTCCTGAAACAATGCACACTAAGCTGATTTTCTTGATAGTAAAATAGAATAAATTATAATGTTCGCTCTCTGTTATCTCCCGATCTTCAACCCTGTAACTGTAACATTTTTAGTGGGTTCACACACTGTCAGCGGGACGGAGTGGCCTAGCGGTAGAGAGCTTGACTACTAACCCGTAAGTCTCGAGTTCGAATCCGGGTTCAAGTCAGTAGACCGTCCCTGAGGGGTACCTAACTCTACTTCACTTGCCCCATAAACTGTCAGTTTTGAAAGGGAACTTTTCTTTATCTCTCCTTCTCTCTATTTCTCTCGTACACACTGACTCAACCACTCACTCCTCACTTACACTCACTCACACCTCAATGATCCTCATCACTTGCATATTCATGTTGCAGACCACAACGTCGAGTTTGTGACGTCATGCTCGCCCGATTCAAAGACCTTTTGCTTGGCCTTCTGATCGGGTTGTCAATGACGGTCTTCTTCGTAGGCAGAACACTCGTGGAAGACTTCCCTTTTTTCCAAGTACGGTAATTTTTAATCATTTCTTGATTTCAATAAGCTTATGTATTTTTTAGCGCAATTTCCATACTGACAATTGCGATTATTAACTCGTCAAGGATGGATGTGTGTCCGATGTGTATCCGATGTGTGTCCGCAGCTTTAAGTCGTATCTCCTCCTCAACGATGCAATATCGAGGACTAGTTCCAAAAGCAAATATGTTAAGCAAGTTCCGAGGATGATTGTGGGCCAAAACAATTCCCGGAATTCCTTCCTGGATTTCCCGGAAAAGCCAAAAAACCTCGAAAAAAATGCAGTTTTTGGCCCATATCTCGGCAACCAGCCCACTTAGCGACTTGAAACATTTACCAATCGATTCCTGCCATAATTTAGAACAATATTGCATAAGAAAGTTTTCAAAAATATCCTTTCGTTCGGTCACAAAAAATTAATTAAGGAAATTTATTAACTTGTTTAATCAGGCACTGCAATTTTCAGATGTTTTTAGTTTTAATAAGCCTCCTTGACTTAGGTTTTTATACTTACTAGAAATTAATTATGTTCATTTTCAAATGTTTAAAGATTTAAATATGACTATATGTTTAGTGTTATTTAAAACAACAACGGTAAATTTTTAATAATTCGATGATTTTAACGAGTTAGATTGTTTACATTTTGCATACCATTAAACAAGCACAGTAATCAAATGTTTGTAGATTTCAATAAGTTTATATTTGTTATATTTTTAAAAACAAATTCGGTAATTTTCAATTATTTGTAGATTTCCAAGCTTATATCACTAAATTTTTGATACTTTAAAATAAGTATGAGAAGGCTTGGCCTAGCGCTAGACAGCTTAACCGAATTTCTTGAGTTCGAATCCGGGTTCAAGTCAGTAGAACGTCCCTGGGTCCACCCAGCTCTGATGGGTACCCTAAGTTAGGGAAACTAAAGGCGGCTGTGCATAGTGTTGGCCACATATGCTGAGGTCACAGAAACAGGTGAACTTTCATTTACTAGTAATGGTGCCTATCACTGACTCTGGTATAACACCATTCACTAGTGATGTGACCTATTGCTGACTCTGGTATAAAATCATTCACTAGTGATGTAACCTATTACTGACTCTGGTATAACATCACTCACTAGTGATGTAACCTATTACTAACTCTGGTATAACATCATACCCTAGTGATGTGACCTATCACTGACTCTGGTATAACATCATACCTTAGTGATGTGACCAATCACTGACTCTGGTATAACATCACTCCCTAGTGATGTGACCTATCAATGACTCTGGTATAACATCACTCCCTAGTGATGTGACCTATCGCTGACTCTGGTATAACATCATTCACTTGTGATGTGACCTATCACTGACTCTATTATAACATCATTCACTAGTGATGTGACCTATCACTGACTCTGGTATAACATCACTCCCTAGTGATGTGACCTATCAATGACTCTGGTATAACATCATTCACTAGTGATGTGACCTATCACTGACTCTATTATAACATCATTCACTAGTGATGTGACCTATCACTGACTCTGGTATAACATCACTCCCTAGTGATGTGACCTATCGCTGACTCTGGTATAACATCATTCACTAGTGATGTGACCTATCACTGACTCTATTATAACATCATTCACTAGTGATGTGACCTATCACTGACTCTGGTATAACATCACTCCCTAGTGATGTGACCTATCGCTGACTCTGGTATAACATCATTCACTAGTGATGTGACCTATCACTGACTCTGGTATAACATCATTCACTTGTGATGTGACCTATCGTTGACTCTATTATAACATCATTCACTAGTGATTTGACCTATCGTTGACTCTATTATAACATCATTCACTAGTGATGTGACCTATCACTGACTCTGGTATAACATCATTCACTAGTGATGTGACCTATCGTTGACTCTATTATAACATCATTCACTTGTGATGTGACCTATCACTGACTCACGTATGTTCCACTTGAAGGTAAACACGCACACCCTGACAGACAAATCACCAAATTTTCAACCAAATGGCGTTGTCCGAATGGAGATCTTCAAACCCACTGACCAGACGGCAGACCGTACGACACACAATGGCGCCAGAACATTTCTCCCTTACAACGATTTTGGTGAGTATTCTTCTGCTCGTTGTTTATAAATAACGTTATGTTTTTTTTTCTAAACTCAAATAGTGACCCCCACAACGTTGCTTAGAGTGCAGGCTTTCTTGCAGAGATTTTTTCTCTAAGGGGGTAGAGGGGAGGGGAAGAGATGGATGGGAATGAATAAAAGTAGGGGGTGGGGACTGTTGAAACTTCTAGAGTGGCACTTGAAACTTCCGGGGGGGGGGGGGGGACGGGACGACGAGGAGCGCGGGCACCTAAATCTTTTATCTACGGCGGTGGGGGTGGACACCGGTTAAAGTTTTTCAATTTAAATTTGATGAGCTTCCTGAAAGAAACCCTGCTAAGAGGTAAGAAAGCAATACTCGGCGCCATTAACTGATGAGTTACACTTTATTTTTTATTTCTTTATTTTTAAATCAACTGACAGTTTTGATTGACGGCGTTGTTTTTCTTACCTTCACAACTTGGTGCGTACTAAGTGTATGGCGCAACTGGATGGGCTTTGTTAATGGTGTAAAACCTGGAGGGCTGGATGGGCTTTATTAATGGTGTAAACCCTGGAGGGCTGGGTGGGCTTTATTAATGGTGTAAAACCTGGAGGGCTGGGTGGGCTTTGTTAATGGTGTAAAACCCGGAGGGTTGGATGGGCTTTGTTAATGTTCTAAACCCTGAAGGGCTGGATGGGCTTTGTTAATGGTGTAAACCCTGGAGGGCTGGGTGGGCTTTGTTAATGGTGTAAAACCTGGAGGGCTGGGTGGGCTTTGTTAATGGTGTAAAACCTGGAGGGCTGGGTGGGCTTTGTTAATGGTGTAAAACCTGGAGGGCTGGGTGGGCTTTGTTAATGGTGTAAAACCTGGAGGGCTGGGTGGGCTTTGTTAATGGTGTAAAACCCGGAGGGTTGGATGGGCTTTGTTAATGTTCTAAACCCTGAAGGGCTGGATGGGCTTTGTTAATGGTGTAAAACCTGGAGGTATAGATGGGCTTTGTTAATGGTGTAAAACCTGGAGGTATAGATGGGCTTTGTTAATGGTGTAAAACATTGTTCTGTTGCCTTCAACCTTCCTTAACAACACTTGGTTAAAGTTTTTAAATAACAAACTCTCAGAAGGGTTGCATATTAAAACATCTGACCATCAGTAATCTCGGATTAAAGTTAAGGGTATGCAATAGGGTAGCTATAAATTAAAGGGGGGGGGGGGTGAGAATGCCCCTCATTTGTATGATTCGGGAGCAGTAAGGAGTGCTGCAAACCTGTCCTTTCAAGTTCTATAGAACTGTTCTGTTCTTTTGAACGCGAATTGATGAAAATAAAAAGTTATTAATGGTATTCAATATCCGTTTTCTGATAAAGACTTGGCATCACGTTAAAATAAAACAGAGGCCGACTATACAACGTGCAAATATGAAACATAACAGTTGAAGACTTTTAAAAATACCTGTCACCCATTAGAGGGTCTAGCCTTTTTTAGGAAGAGGGGCTGCCGAATATTTTTCTTCTTCTTCTTCTTCTTCGTTCTTAATTATTAGTGTTGAAGGGGATCGAGATTTATCTGCCAGTGGGTTTGAACTCGAGCCATTTTTCGAATTTATCAACCATGAGCGTTTTGCCGACTCGACCACGCCTTCAACACAATTAAGCGTTACGTGTCAACTGTTTATGCGCCATTGAGCCATTGACTCCGATTTCAGCCTGCTTTTCTTTTTGGATTTGCTTCCATAGCCTTTGTCCAACCAAGAACAAACTACAAGGCAGCAGTTGTTTAATTTTGGAGTTGTCTCTCCTAGAAGAGTGGCTGTTCCCAGCTAACGAGCCTCATCTGCCCGAGGGTTCGAACTCGAGACTTTTCGATTTAGCAACCATGAGCTTTACCGACTCGACCACGCCGACCCCTTGCCGAATATTTAATTTCTATACATTTTTGTTTGGTAGGGGAGGGTTTATCCCCCCCCCCCCAACACCTCACCCCCACTAATATTTTGAGAGGGGAGAGGGGAACTAAGCCACATAGGCAAATAAAAAATAAAATTTGTCTATGTCGTCACTATCTAGTTTTCATGTTTAACTTAAATTTGTTTGATATAAGTTTATTGTTTTAAATGTTCAGAAGACGACACGATAGCCCAGGAACTGAGTCGAGAGGTCCGCGTGCTGGTATGGGTCATGACGACACCAGAGAACCTGGAGACCAAAGCCCTGGCCATCAAGCAGACGTGGGGCAAAAGATGCAACGTTATCATTTATTTTAGGTCAGTGCTCCAGAACTATTTGTTTGCGTGCTTCAAGGTTAAACAACACCATTGTTGTTGTAGAGTCAGTCTCAAACGGTTGGATGATTTTCAGTTGAAAATGGTACACATTGGAATGCACTGTAGTGTAGGTCTACTGGTACAGCGTTAAGGCTAAGCTATTATTTATGCTCTATAAACCAGGGCAAGCCATAGTAGTTATTTGGGGTTTTAAGTTTTTTGGATTTTAAACATAATAGGTCTGGATTTCTTCACTGAACGGGTGTCATTGTTAACTTGCTAATTTACTAGACTAGAAGATCTAGGCCCTATCCATCAGTTAACTAGTGTAGGACCAGTCTAAAAGATGTGTTTATTGATCAAATAAAGCTAGTTACTGGTATTTTTTTAAAACATGGGGTTTCAGCTTTTATCTTAGCTTACTATATAGAGCACACTACACTATGCAACAGTGGCGTTACTAGGTCGGGTGTTACCTGCTGCTGTAACTATGGGGTCAACCCCCACCCCCCTCCAAAACTTTAACATTTTTGGTACGGTGTCACCCATTCCCCCACTATTTTATTTTAACTGGGTAAAACATTGTTTTGACAGTAGGCTACATTGTGCAAATTTTTCACTTGGTGTCACCCCAAAATGGTATTCCCCGGAACAGACCTCACACCCTTCCCAAGTTGTGATGCTACTAATGTAACCCCCCCTCCCCCTCAAAAAAAAAAAAACCAACCAATTATGAAGCTTGATCTTAATTAAAATGATTTTTTCCTCAGTTCTAAAGAAGATCCTGAATTCCCAGCAGTTAATCTTGAAGTTCCGGAGGGCAGAGGTCATCTGACTGGGAAAACTATGGCAGCCTTCCGATATATTTATGAACATTATTTTGACGAAGCTGATTGGTTTATGAAGGTATGTCAGCCTATATTAAATTAAGCTCAAAATTCTTGTAGGCCTATGTTTATCAACTTAATTCAGTTTAAATTTATTAGTAATTACCTAATTTTCTCTATATTTAAAGATGTTAATTGAAAAGCAATACTCATTAAAGAGGGAGATTTTTTTAAAGCTGTGAAACTTTAACTAATTTTAATTGTTGTTTGTATAAAACTGCTTCATCTGGAATTAAACACTTCATACATTAACAAAGCATTATATAACATAATTTATCAAGATTTAACTTCTATGGGACCATTCACAACATCAACCAAACCTCATGTATAACAATTCACCTATAGTTATTAAAAAAAAAATATTGTTCCTTTCAGGCTGATGATGATACTTATGTAATCTTGGAGAACCTACGTTTCTTTCTATCAGACAAAAACAAAAATGAGCCGATTTATTTTGGCCACTTATTTGCACGTAATGTTGAGCAGGGATACTACAGGTAAATTTATTTATTAGCACAGGTTTAACATATTAGTTAGTCAATAGCTTAAGCCAATTGTTTAATTAGTTATTGAGCAAATATATCAACATTTCAACAGTTTTTATATATTTATAAAACAAACATTGTAATTGATGATTATGGTGTTATTTTAACTAGCCAAACATTTAGAAAATGTGTAGCTTAGATGGTAAAGGTTTGACTGAAAACCTAAAATGTTTTTTTTTTGTAGTAGTGATGGTTAAACATATTTTCTTTATGGTGATAGTGGTGGTTAAACATATTTTCTTTATGGTGGTAGTGGTGGTTAAACATATTTATATATTACGAGGTGGTTAAACATATTTTCTTTGTTAAGGTGTATGTGGTTAAACATTTTTTCTATATTTGAGCATCATTAGTTGCGTCAATCTAACTCAGTGAATATTTTCTCCTGCAGTGGAGGGGGTGGCTATGTCATCAGCAAGGAGGCGCTCCGCAGATTTGGCAAGTTCGCTATCAACTCTACCGTCTGCCGGGAGGATGGGGGGGATGAGGATGTGGAATTTGGTCTGTGCATGGAGAGGCTGAATGTGAAGACTTCCAAGTCCTTGGATGAGATGGGGAGGACCATGTTCCATGCCATGCACCCCTCGCTTCATATACTGAACAAGTTGCCCTCTTGGATCTCCCGCTATTCTGCTAGTGGGTCTTCTGGTCAACAGGTAAAACATCCATTCTCGCGTGTAGTTTGAGTATTTTACTTTCAAATTATTTTTACAGGTATAGTGTAAAGATATATGTGATGGAGTTTTTTTATACTAAAAATGTGTTACCCTTTTGGACCTGGTGATCTATAGGGCAGATGAAGTAGAGTTAACATGTTTCTGTGATCTCAGCATTATGTCTAACTGTCTTTACATTCCCTAATAAGAGTTAGGTACCCATCATAGCTGGGTTGACTCAGCAGCAGTTTAAACTAGAGCACAGGTTCAAATATATTCATATGCTCTACCATTTGACCACTCTATCCCTTAAATGTAATTTATTAATATCTAAACCAAACTAGAATAACTGCAGTGCAATGAAGCATTTCATCCCTTGTACTGATCATAAAATTAAAATAAGTATTTTTAACTACTTATAGATAACCTATCAAAACCTATGTTTAACTTCAAAAAAAGAAACAACAAATTTTTTAACATTTTCCTCAGGGTTATGGTGTAAGCAAGTATGCTGTGAGCTTCCATTATGTTCCTCCTGATGATATGCGTTTGCTAGACTTCTATATGTACCACCTACGTCCCTATGGTATACATTCCATTGACAGAAATAACAGTAAAACTTAGTGGCTGTAGGGAGTACTAAAGTGATACAAGCATTAGCAGTTCAAAACTACACTGTGATAACCCTTAAGAGGAGTCTACAAATATAATAAACAGATCTTAAGGGTCAGTTTTTTTATATTTAATTATGAAATACAGTCCAGTATTGAAGACCAAGGGTATATTAATTGAAATGTGAGTCATATTTATGTGTGTCTCAACATGATTTACCTGAGTTTGTGAATAATCTGATCTGTATGTTTGACCTTATGAACTGCATCACATTGAGTTTGTGAATATGAATATTGATGAACTGAATCTCAGAGGTACAAAACAGATCATCCAAAAACGTTTTGTTCAAAGCAGCCTACACAGTGGGAATTTTTTTGTTCTGAGAAGATAAAAAAAAAGCAATTAAAGACTATTCCAGCTGTTTTTAAAGTTTTTGCCATGAACCTTATATGAAGGAGGTTTTGTAAAACTACAGTGAAATGAATTCATTATAAATCAGCAAATTTGACAATACCTGTAGTTCACACACTTTGATGAGATGAACTGAACAAGAAGGGGGGCATCGCTATGGTGAAATGAATTTATTAAACATTCGCAAATATTTACTTACTGGATACCATGAATGATGAATAGCACAATGTAGCAAATTACTGACCAATGTTTGATTCAATATATTTTCATATTGGATTTAGCAAATCTGTTAATTGATAAATGAGCATTAGAAAAATTTATTTTATCTTTTAAAGTCTCATACGTCTCATCTAAGTAAACTTTTGTCAATTGTTTTATTGTGTATTTTGTTTAACTAGGAAAATATACAAGCTGTTATTTTAATCTTACTACCATGTGATTGTCAAAGAGATAACTAATCTTTTTGCTGTGTAAATCTTGTGCATAATAGTTAAATTTTTAAAATACATTGTTGGAGCATGTGTATCTATCTGTCTTCATATACTCTAATATCAAATAATATAATATATTATTACCTGCTGGGAATATAAAAAGTTTATACTCAGTTTATTCTCTGTCAAATAGATTTAAGTGAAACTAAAATGTAACTTGTTGCTGAAATGTCACTAACTCAACTCATATAGAGACATTCCATTCAATAAGATTAAAACAAAATCCCAACTGTTTTTTTTATAACAAAACTCATAATACTCATATGTATGTAGTTTTAATGATGAAGTAACTGTTACATGAAATCAGTGTTTTATGAAACTTCTGTATTTATCTGGATTACAATCTCTGCCACAAATCTCTTTTACATAATATTCAATGTCTATTCCATCAAATACAATGGGCACACTGACAATTTAATTAATATTTGACAAATTTAGTAGAACAATGTTTGTATTTTTTATTTATTTTATAAAAGTGATGCTTTTTAATGTTATTGTTACTAAAATTGAATAAGTAGCCAAATGATCCCTTTTGTTCATATTTGCATCTCCTGGGATCCAATGATGTGTTTCATTGCGCATTTGCAATTGTAACAATGCCATACATTTTTAAAGTATTTATTTTAAATACTTTGACTGTATTTCCAGCTTAACTTATTGTATAAATTGATTTATATGTGTTGCAAGATTTAAAATATAATTAAGCATGATTTTTCCACCCCTAGTCATTCTTATAAATTAAAGCGGTTTTTCAGACCAATTAATGCCACTTATCACAGTATTAAATTAATTCTTACATTTTTATCTTTTTCATTAATTATGGAAGATAAAAATTGTTTTTTTTTTTACTACTGTGATTTATTTTTTTTTCTGTTGCTGCAAGACTTCCACTGTTTTTTAAAAATGTATTTTAATTAAAAAAAAATTTCAAATCTAAAAATGTTTTTTTTTTTTGTCTGTTGAGTTTTAAATTTTGAAAATAGAATTGTAAAAAGTTTTTTACATTTTAATATGTTTGGGAAACGAATTATTGAATTCAGTTTTTATAAGCTTGCTTATGATGTGTATTTTACGCTTTAAGCCAAGCCTGGTTAATTTTTGTTATATAAATACTCACTTCAGCCTTGAGTACCAGAGGGCTAAAATAAAATGATTGAAAAATATAAAATAAAGCATTTTAGATGATACCACAAATTGTTTTGTTTTCAAGATAATTGCTAATCACAAGATAAAACTAAAATTGACATCCTATTAGATTTTAATAAACCCATTACAGCCATAAAACTGGCCATTCACACACACACACAACTGATCACTTTGCCAATCTTCTGGGATTTAATTATTTACTGATTTTTAATTTTTTTTTTTAATTTTTTTTTTGCATTGCCTGTGATAGTTATGTGGTTTAATGTGTTTGATATTTAGCCTTAGATTCCGCCCTTGGAATACATGATAAAAAACTTGTTGAGTGTAAAAGTTGATCAAACTCATAGTTTGAATGATGTGCTTATACAAAAGAACTCATAATATTTAGACCTCTTGTGCTGGGCCATGATAAACCACATTATGTTGGCCACTTGTGTTGGGCAATGATAAATCACATTCTATTGGCCACTTGTGCTGGGCCGTGACAACCACATTCTGTTGGCCACTTTTGTTGGGCCATGATAAACCACATTCTGTTGGCCACTTGTGTTGGGCCATGATAAACGACATTCTGTTGGCCACTTGTGCTGGGCCATGATAAACCACATTCTGTTGGCCACTTGTGCTGGGCCATGATAAACCACATTCTGTTGGCCACTTGTGCTGGGCCATGATAAACCACATTCTGTTGGCCACTTGTGCTGGGCCATGACAACCACATTCTGTTGGCCACTTGTGTTGGGCCATGATAAACCACATTCTGTTGGCCACTTGTGTTGGGCCATGATAAACCACATTCTGTTGGCCACTTGTGCTGGGCCATGATAAACCACATTCTGTTGGCCACTTGTGCTGGGCCCATGACAACCACATTCTGTTGGCCACTTGTGCTGGGCCATGATAAACCACATTATGTTGGCCACTTGTGCTGGGCCATGATAACCACATTCTGTTGGCCACTTGTGCTGGGCCATGATAAACCACATTATGTTGGCCACTTGTGCTGGGCCATGATAAACCACATTCTGTTGGCCACTTGTGCTGGGCCATGATAAACCACATTCTGTTGGCCACTTGTGCTGGGCCATGATAAACCATATTATGTGGCCCACTTGTGCTGGGCCATGATAAACCACATTCTGTTGGCCACTTAGTAGGCTGTTGTCATAATACAACACTAAAATTTATGGTCGTTATTGATTCTGGTATGCAACTGGCCTTTTTGCATAATTAATTGCTCATCTAAAAAACTACCACGTTGTCACAGTTAGGTAGTTAATTAATTTAAACAGCACGCGTGGCTAATTGCTGGTCTTCTGCGTGCACTAAATCAAGTTAAGGAAAGATGGAGGTTCGCCAACCTAATGTCCTAAAGTCAACATGGAACATAATGTTCTATAGTCAAGACTAGGCATGCTGCCCAGCTTCGCTTAGGCTTTCGAAAACATTGAGAATTTGGATGCTTAATTAATTCGCCCATATAAGGCGCCGGTCAGTCGAGGTCAGTTTTGAACCCCTCATCGTAGACTTTTCGGCCAACCGGCCCCCGTGTTCTTTCGCCCCAAGGCAAGATCCTGCCAAATTTGAAGCGCCTGCGGCGCCGGGAAGTGCCCTGTAGGGCACCTGACAACTTAGTTTTAAAGATCATCTAGATCTAGAATCTCTAGATCTATATGATCTAGAATATCTAGATCTAGATCAATATCTAGATCTAGAATCTCTAGATCTAGAATCCAAATAGATAAAATAATTTTTTTTAAGTTTAGGCCGAGAAAATCGTATTGTATACATTTCATAGCGTACATAGCTCTAAATCATATTTGAATGAAATAGTTCATTTTTTACAAGCTTTTATTTAACTCACTTCCTCGTCGGTCTGTCTGTCTAGACGGAAACGGAGGAGTGAAAATTCGGACAGTTCTACTTGACCGATACGATTCACAGTTGGCACGTGGGTCAAGACATGAAGACAATGCAATCTGAAACTAAATTTGACTTAATTGGATGCCTAATTAATTTTTATGAATTAATTAAAATTTGGACCGAATTAGTAGGCATGTCTAGCCAACCACACCACACGCGTCATCACCTTCAATAGCTGCGCCATCACGTAATGGCTGCGTTCAAAAACCATTGCGCGCCTACTGAACGTGATGTTCAGTAGGCGCGCAATGGTTTTTAGTCATGTAACTCTATTGTAAATAAAACATGTAAAGTACTGAAAAAAAAATTCATAAAAAACGTTTTAATAACAAGCTTTTATGTAATGATGCACTAAAAAGTAGAAAATAAATTATAGACTACTATTTAAATAACTATAAAGAAAAGCGTGGGTGTCTTCCTTAACATTAGTAAAGGTATCCAATAGATACTAAAGTGACCCACGCTTTTCTTTATAGTTATTTAAATAGTAGTCTATAATTTATTTTCTACTTTTTAGTGCATCATTACATAAAAGCTTGTTATTAAAACGTTTTTTATGAATTTTTTTTAAAATTCTAAACTCGGAAGATGACGTCATCAGTTTCGTGCTCTTGTTTTAGTGTTTTAGTGTAAACAATAAGCGACGTCATTGTTAAATGCGTTCTTGTCCCAAGTTTATACACTTTTCCGGTTGCATAAATAATACTGTTTCTCTACATTCGAATACGCCTTTATTTTTTATTTTTCTTCTTTAAATAAAATTGTGGTTATACATTTAAAACATCTAACATATTATTTTCAACAAAAGTCCGTAAAAAGTTCTTCATATATCGCTGCCGATTCTGACGTGATGTCCGGCGAAAATTTTTTGAGGACAGAGAGAGAGAGAGAGAGATGTGCGAACGTGGCCCATTCTAGATTTAGATGGGACCTAATTTCCGATAGTCAACATGGGACCTTATGTCCTGTAGCCAACATGGTACCTAATGTCCTCTACCGAAAGAGAGACAAAATGTCCTGTAATTTAAGTGTATCCTATTGTCCTATAGCCAACTTGGGACGAAATATGGTAAAACACCCACTTAAGGTAAGACATAATGTAGGACATAGACTTATCAATCGACGTAAAACAACAGAGTACTTTTTACTCTAAAAAAGTCAGATCTAATGTTATGTGAAAATAGCTTCTTGAGGAGTAGACTTTACTAACATTAACAACTGATATGTATGACTCACTCAACATTTCCCTTTAGGAAGCAAAAGTGTGTGTGCAGCATGCAAGCTATGTTCAGTGTTTCTTTCAGACAAAATTTTCCGGGGGGCGGTGGGGGTAGAGAGGCGGACACTGGCAAAGTATATATTTTCTGTATAAATTCCATTTCGTTCGGGGAAGGGGGGGGGGCTCTGGAAAAAGCCTTTGAAGAGCTCTTGCATAACTATATTATGTGCGTAGTGTTAACATTGACTTATACATTTAAAGTTTACAAAAAGACTGAATGGTCAGTTTCAACTACAAGCCTACCGGGCATTGATATCGTGCAGCTTCGATGAGAAATTGCATTCAACCCACTAACGCAGTCATTTACAGCAACTGAGTTATTTTTGCAACTAAAGAAAACGAGTTCAAAAGCTGAAGGAGCGATGTAGATGAGACAAACGATGGGACAGAGAGAAGGAGAACGGATATTATTCGCCACGCTATAGCCGTGTCGTCTCTTGATGTTCAAAGAATGTCAGCACAATTTTTCTCTTTGAAATGATATAATCGTCTGTTGAACGTAATCAAAACAAAGTTGTCTCCCCTGGAGAATTTATAATTCTTAAGACAGCATCACACCGAAGAAGTAGCCTACTACTATGGTTAAGTGGACAAACTATTTTAACTAGTTTTGGTTTGATTACTTACACCTCTGTAAAGCTATATTGTCTGTTTCGTTCTCCTTAATGTAGTATGGTCCCAAGCAAAGTAGGGGACATAAGCCTTCATTGAATATATACTTAATCGTACCAGTTTGAATCAAACTTAAAAAAAAACAACTCATTAACTTTTATTAAAATGAAATTTAGGCCGAAGGGAATTTAATCGTTTTTTTAATTGAATTATTGTCAACATCATGCTTTTCTTTCTGACTTCCAAAAATAATTTGAAGATTTATTTTTACAAACGAATATTATTACAAAATAAATTATACACTACTATTTAAATAACTATAAAGAAAAGCGTGGGTCGCTTCCTAAATATTAGTAAAGGTATCCAATAGATACTAAAGTGACCCACGATTTTCTTTATAGTTATTTAAATAGTAGTGTGTAATTTATTTTCTACTTTTTAGTGCATTATTACACAAAAGCTTGTTATTAAAAAATTATTTTATGATTTTTTTTAAAAATTAAATTTCTTTAATGCTATTAAAAATAACGCAGAGCTAGTCAACTCAGTATACTTTGCTGGCAAAACCCGACTAGAAATAATTAATCTTGGTGAATAAAAAACATAGAACTTAACGGATTGATACAAGATGGCTAGGGAAATCCTTCTCATATTATTTTTAAAGTTATTTGAAGCTTTTAAGTGTTCTCTGTAAACAGTAGTTGTGAGGCTTTGGGTTAAAAAATTTTCTTTGAAAACTGAGGTGTTCGATTTAAAATATTCAGGAACCACTGGCTTCAAGTGGCATAAGGACAAAGGATACTTTGTCTTGTTTCAGTTCATCGGCGATGTAATTATAATTTACAAAAATGAATATAATTTCCGTACAATTTATATATCTATATATAAATATATGTCAATGTAC